TTATAGACTGTTGGCAGTGTGTGTTGATAGTCTATCATGTTGAAGATAGAGAGTCGGGGATCTTCTGTTCCTGCTATGGCGTACTAGGAGGATACACAACCCCTAAGTCGTGAATTATAGACTGTTGGCAGCCTATCATATTGAAGATAGAGAGTCTGAAACCCGCTGTTCCTGCTGTAGCGTACTAGGAGGATATCCGACCCCTAAGTCGTGAATTATAGGCTGTATCAGAACGTGTGTATTTTATATACATTATTATATTGACTTAAAAAAAATATATTTTTCTAACCATTCTCATTTGCATCTCTTATCAACAGATTTCTTAAAATGTGTAGAGCTGTTTGTTTATCTTTTTTTTTACTCTTGAGGATTATTCTCTAAAAAGGGACTTCCCCTTTTTTGAAAAACAAAAAAAAAAGAGAAGGCAAGTGGAATGTCTCACCTAGGGGAGATCCCACTGGCAAAGAAGATTGGAATATCAAGTGTCTGAATTTGGACCTCTTTGTGGAGAGGTGCAAAAGATCGTGATTGATCTGCTTTTCTGCATCTCTGTGCGGAACACGTCCAGATTCAGAGACTTATTCCAATCCGCTTTGCCCGTTGGATCTCGCCCTTAGAAGAAGAAAAGGGGTAATGTTTGTAGTCTGTCCACTGCCTGCGTACCCATAGGACAAAAAAAATTAGTCTTGTCCTTATTCACTAGTTAAGAACAGACTACCATGGATTTGAACTGTCCCAGCTCAAGAACCGTTTCTTCTGTTTCCAGTAGGACGCAGGAAGAATCATTCCCATTTTTTCCTATGGTATAAGGTGTGGCGACCGCCTGGTTTTGGTCTTGGTCCAGGATCACGTGGACCTCCAGGATCACGTGGACCTTAAGAACTTCAGAATGTCCGTCATTGCCAACCCTCACTACCCACTGACCTTCGTACGCAGGCAGAGGATGTTGTAGGACCTCCTTCCATGCCAGAGGAAAGTTGTTGATGACAGCCTCCACCCGCTCCTGTACAATGGTGGCCAGTCCGTCATTGTCCAATCTATTCGTGGGGAGCAGCACGTGCTGGGAACCGGGCCCAGCGTCCCATATGAAAAATTACATCGAATTTAGCACATTTGAGATACCGGGGCCATTACGCGGCTTTGGCTAAGAGAAAATTGAAGCTACTTAGGAGATCACTACGACAAACTTCAGAATTGAACAAAAGCTTCCGCCATGGGGCGGTTGAGCTTTTTGCATTATCAGTTAAACCACCAGTACTTCCTACAGTCGCGTAGCGTTAACGCTACGCAATTTTAGGAAACGTACCGGCCACTACAGGAGCGCCCAAATTCATCCAACTAGAAATGTTTCTACTCTATGTTTTTCTGCGGCCGATAGCTGGGCCAAGTTCTGGTGGTTTAATAGCTCCAAAGAGTCCTTGGGAGCATTGAAAAACTGCTTGGACTTGTATGCAAGGTTCTCTGAAACCCTTGTCAATTGGCCTAAGTCCGTTGCAATTGTAAATACTGATGCACAGCTGTCGTCTGTGCACTGGGGACTAAAACGTTTTCCTACAGGAGCATGTGAGCGCTTTTGGGGCATGCAGGTAAGCATTATGGACAGCAAGCCCGCTACCGTCTTCACCCGAATACAACGTACCGTCATTATAGCTGCATTTTGGGCTATCTTTCCGTCTAACTACAGCCATAATGACCGTACGTTGTATTCGGGTGAAGAAGGTAGTACTTCGGTGGAAGGCAAGGTCATCTGACTCATCTCCAAGCTAGGTACAGTGGCCAAAGTCAAGAGAGTCTCGATCATGGGTAGGGCTCTGTTCCTCAACACTTCAGTCTTTTCACCTATCAGGTATCCGGGCTCTATCAGGAGACTAGAAACTAAATCCTACTGGAAGATCAGATCACTGTCCACCAAGTATCTTTGGAAAGGTACAGAATCTACAGATGAGGAGGAGGTGGGATACGTCGCCAAGTTAGCATGGAAGAAAGTGGTGGGGGACAAATCGGACGGCGGGCTAGGCATCAAAGATCCAGAATTGCAGGTTAAACCACCAGTACCTCGCTCAGCTGCCGCAGCTTTAGGGGGGTTGCCCAGGGGAAGGCCCGGTCGCTCCTTCTCGGCCGGAGCCCACCAACTACAGGGTGTTACTCACACAATAAGGAAAAAAAAATGATAAACACAAGAAAAAAAACGAAATAAAAGAAGATAACCGTCGTTGCTTCTTGGCGCGCAGTAGGGGAGCGATAGAAAGAGAGAGAGAGAGAGAGAGAGAGAGAGAGAGAGAGAGAGAGAGAGAGAGAGAGAGATGGGTGTCACCTGCTTTAGTTGATGGTGTGCGTCACGCAGCTCATCTAGGATTTTAGCCACCCGTTCGCACTCGCTGCGCGCCTCGAGCTCCGCATTCTCTAGCTTCTTGATGGAGTCTTCCTGTTCCTGGAGCCTTGCTATGGCCTCCCTCTCCCCCAGGTTCGAACGAATGAGCTCCTGCTCTTTTGCAGCCAACTCCCTTCCCCACCCAAGTTGGCAATCAATCCCACAGTCAAAAAAAAAGGACAAACTACGAGAAATCGATCAATTTTCGATGATGCATTCCATCTATCCAATCCATCAATTCCGTTTGTGAAAGGATCTCACGCTGCACCAGCGTCCCAGGACCCAGTCCCGAGTCCCAAGTCCCAGCTCCCAGGTATAGTCCTGAATCCCAAGTCCCATTCCGTGTTCCATTAGTGATTCCAGCTGCTTGTACAATATTCACAAATACTCTAGAAGACTAGTAAGTTACGTGTACAATATTCACAAATACTCTAGAAGACTAGTGAGCTATTAACTGTTCCGTTTCTAGTAATTTTGTACCATGATTCCAGAGGCTGTCTTCACCGGAATACGCATCTGGACTGAAAGTTGCATCAAATACAGCTATAATCTACAGGCCTGTGTAGCACACCAACATGTTCGGAGCTTTTCCGAATGTCTGACATGTTTGGGTGTTCGGCCGAATGCCTCCCGATCGTGTTCGGTCGAACAGATGAAAAAAAAAAAAAAAAAAAAAAAAAAAATT